AATTCCTCCTTATTTCCAGGTTGGATCTCCCTCTGACAAGCTTCCACCCATTGCTTCTTGTCCCGCCCTCAGGTACTATGGAGAATAAATCAATGCCTTTTCCCTGTGGCAGCTTTTAAGTATTGGAAGACCGCTATCATGTCTTTTTTTCATTAAGCTAAACATACCTAGTTCCTTTAGCTGTTCTTCATAGGATTTAGCCTCCAGACCCTTTATCATTGTTGCTACTCTTCTCTGCACTCTTTCTAGGGCCTCAGCATCTTTTTTGTATTGTGGTGACCAGAACTAGACGCAGTATTCCAAATGTGGCCTCATCAGTGCATTGTAGAGCAGTTTTATCACTTCCATTGATATTTCCATTGTAATATATCAACTGTCCTATTTAAATTCTACATCCATTTAATCATGCAGTCATTGACGTGTTCAGTTTGTGAATCATATTTCATTAACAACTTATGTAGGAACCCTAATATATTCTGAGCCCTGCTTTATAAGCATTTCAAATTCAGTCAAATTTCTGAGTGTGCCACCTTGTTTTTGTAGTTTCTTTTGAACTATACTGCTTATTTGGAGATACTGAAACTACTGAGGCGTTGCTGTCCATTCCAAGGAGAAAGTCTCAAAAGATTTCATCCTTGTTTCATTAAAGGTTAAACCTTGCAATCTGTACAAAATTTTTCTCTCCACTGATCTATTTTTGTTAGCATAATCACCTTCATGAAAATAAATATTTAATATTGAGGTAAAAAAAGATAAACATGGGCTCATTCAATCTTAAAGTATCAGCTACTTAATTTTTTTCACATCTGTAAATATTAATGTGCTTATATACTATGTGCACATATAATATATGTGGAATATACTAATGGAAGTGTATAGACTTTAAGGGAAGTGTGGTGTGGCCTGATTGGAAGAGTTCTATGTGAATACAGTGGAATGCATTTGTGTCTCCTCCAATACATTCAAGAGGTGGAGATCATGGCTACTGGGATAAGGCTAAGCCCCTCCTATGCATTTTTTTCAACACATTGGAGAGGTTACCTGAAACCTTTTAGCCTGTAGGACTGATACGGTTTTGTTTACAGAAATCTAGGAAGGTGACCACATAGCAGAATAGCTGTGACAAAATGAATGCATTCTCCTTGAATCATCAGTTTGAGATTTACCGCTCTTTTTATTTCCCTGATGTTTTATAGCTGCCTTTAAGTTAATTGTTTGGGAGAGTATGCTTAATTGTTCATGTTTTTCAAACACTCTCCTATTGTTTCTACTGTTTGAGGGAGAAATTAAAATCTGGATCAAATTTAAAGCAGAGTTCTCCAACCGCAGAAGAGCTAGATGTGTTCAGATTGCAACTGCCGGAGGCCATGATGGCCAGGAATTTTAGGAGTTATAATTGCAGGTCATGACTGATTGGATAGTGCCTAATGGGTAAGGCTGTTCATTTAATGAGCCAAATTATTCCTTTGCATCTATTATGACTTACTGCTTCTTAAATATGAAATGTGAGGCAATATAGAGAGGCAACAGTCCTCCCAACTTGATGTTCTCTAGATGTTTACTTAAACCAACTTAGTTTTTGGCCATGCTCTCTGAAAATTATTGAAATTGAACTCTACTGTTTCTGGGAAAGAAACACACTGGCAAAGACTGTTCTGTACTTTTGAGTATATATAACTGAATACAGGAAGTAAAGAATATAGTCTTTTGAAGGTAATGTTCTGCAAATACAAAGACATCTAAATAATAAATCTTCCTTTTTTGCACCAACTGTTGTTGCTGACTTTGCCTTATACTGAAACATACAGTGGGGCAAAAAAGTATTTAGTCAGCCACCAATTGTGCAAGTTCTCCCACTTGACTAAATACTTTTTTGCCCCACTGTATGTTTCAGTATAAGGCAAAGTCAGCAACAACAGTTGGTGCAAAAAAGGAAGATTTATTATTTAGATGTCTGTGTTTGGAGGAGAGAGAATGCTGAGTTGCATCCAAAGAACACCATACCTACTGTGAAGCATGGGGGTGGAAACATCATGCTTTGGGGCTGTTTTTCTGCAAAGGGACCAGGACGACTGATCCGTGTAAAGGAAAGAATGAATGGGGCCATGTATCGTGAGATTTTGAGTGAACACCTCCTTCCAGACATCTAAATAATAAATCTTCCTTTTTTGCACCAACTGTTGTTGCTGACTTTGCCTTATACTGAAACATACAGTGGGGCAAAAAAGTATTTAGTCAGCCACCAATTGTGCAAGTTCTCCCACTGTGTTTGGAGGAGAGAGAATGCTGAGTTGCATCCAAAGAACACCATACCTACTGTGAAGCATGGGGGTGGAAACATCATGCTTTGGGGCTGTTTTTCTGCAAAGGGACCAGGACGACTGATCCGTGTAAAGGAAAGAATGAATGGGGCCATGTATCGTGAGATTTTGAGTGAACACCTCCTTCCAGACATCTAAATAATAAATCTTCCTTTTTTGCACCAACTGTTGTTGCTGACTTTGCCTTATACTGAAACATACAGTGGGGCAAAAAAGTATTTAGTCAGCCACCAATTGTGCAAGTTCTCCCACTGTGTTTGGAGGAGAGAGAATGCTGAGTTGCATCCAAAGAACACCATACCTACTGTGAAGCATGGGGGTGGAAACATCATGCTTTGGGGCTGTTTTTCTGCAAAGGGACCAGGACGACTGATCCGTGTAAAGGAAAGAATGAATGGGGCCATGTATCGTGAGATTTTGAGTGAACACCTCCTTCCAGTGGGAGAACTTGCACAATTGGTGGCTGACTAAATACTTTTTTGCCCCACTGTAGTTCTCCATATATTCCAGAGTGCTTCCCCTTTCTCTCTTATTGGAATTAGTTTCTATGGATAAAAATGAAGAAGTAGAGAAATCTGGGACATAACAAATTAGTTTTAATTAGTACAAACAGTATCCAAATGCTATATATGGCATTAAGTTGTTCTTATTCTCTCTTTCCTTCCACACATACTACATTCAAAGGACCTATCTGTCTTTCTTGAATTGGCAGTCAGTAGCAGTTATTTGCAAGACTGAAATTCTTGACTCTAAAGACCTGTATTCTTGGCTAGAGGCCTAGTGCTAACTAAGGTTCCTACTTCTGCCTTTTCCCAGTCAGTGTATGTAGTACCATGATCACAAGATGCCTTGCAAATTGTTTCCCAGAGGTGCATGAGATTATTTGTGGAAGTGGGAGGCACAAATACAACCATATAGAGAATAGGGGTAGAATTTGATAATCCTGTTTGGCAAAGTATAACGGGCCAAAATAGAAATGTTATTAAATGAAAACTCTGAACGTAAGGTCCTGGTGCCAGTGAACTTTACCTAGATTAGGGACCCAGGTGTTTTTTTCTGTGCTCTACCATGCTCCTCTGCCATAGGATACATCTGTTTGCCTTCTGCTGTGTTCAGCACGGCTATATTGGCAAGATACAGATTGCAGATACAATCTGAACAGGTATCAGGAAATACAGCAACAGCAGCATTGCACCATATCATGCAGTGCAATATGATACTTGATGATACTTCACATCAAGACTTAATGTGGCTTGCTTCATTTTGGCTTTGTAATTTGGGTTAATCCAACCATTATGGTTTATAAATCTCATTGAAATAAATACGCTAGAGTGTACAAATGTGTAAAACTCATAAAAATAGCAAGTAAGAATGCAAATGTTTGAATTTACACCCTGCCCATTACCTCTTCTACAAACAGAGCTGCTTTAGTGGCATAAATCTGTGAGTATTCAAATCATATCAGTAATTCAGACCAATGCGTAATTTGCAGTATCCTTATTACTGATAATGAGACTAATTGTTTAATATAAAGAATTATACCCTGCAGGGTACTGGGGTCCATGTCAGAGAATTTGAAAGCACCTGTATGATTTCAAACACACTGTAATTGGGAAATGTAGTTCTCTATTTACCTGAAAAGAATACTAGGGCTTCCCCCACCCTAATATTTTACCTTTAAGTCAACTTAAATTCAGAATCATCCTCTTTTTGATAAATATGGTAGTGCTTGGGGTCGGAGAGGTAGCACTGGGCTAAAGCCAAACCTTTGTTAGCCTAGAATCGGTGACATTTAAGCCACAACATGAGCAGTTTGACTTGTATGTTTCCTATAGGTAGATGGAGAATAGCTCATTTGTTCTGACCATTATGAGCCTGGGAAGGGCATGGAGCAATAGATCAAAGTGTAGATTACAGCTGTTCTTAATAGCTGTCAGCTTGGTCTTACAATGAGGTGGTACATGTCTCTTGCTGAAGCTAAGCAGGCCTGGCCCTTAAACTGCCAGGATTATAGGCTTCACGCTCTCCTTGAAATAAATGCAGGGTATAAGGATAATGAATACACAAATATATGCCCTTGTTGGAGGTTGAAGAGATGCCTATAACAACAGCCTGTGGCACCCATCTGGCCATTTTGACTGTAAAGAGAAGGCAGTGTGATTTGCCTCCTCGTTGCTAAGTAACTACAGGACATAGTTTAGACACAGATTTCTCCCAGGCTGCTGGAATGCCCAGATGGGGAATGATACAGCTACAGAGGAGAAAGGGGCAAAGTTGCTGTTCATTTTAAAGCATTTAATCATCTGTGTCCAATTCTTCCCTTGGAAGTAAATTTGGGTGCCTTTTGAAATGCTAGATTTTATAAAGAGGGCCTTTGAGCGACTCATGCCACCCAAATACATAGGATCCTGATTTGGAATTTTTATTCCACATGAATATAGTGGAATACAGAATATTTGAAAGGTCCTGGTCTATGCTATTAGTAAGCCCTCCCAAATTTATTCTAGTTTTAGGAAATACAGTTGGAAACATTTTTCCAAAACATTCTTCGTGGCAGAAAAACTTGGTTTATCTCTGTCCATGTCTTGAAGCCTTATGCCATCAAAATACACCATCCATGCTTCCTGCCTGAAACCCCGGGTTGTTATGGGCTGCCAAATCCTACTAAAAGATCCACAATGATATTGAAACCACCATACTTATGCCTTTCCTTCCCCACAGTCTGTGATGAAATGGAGACCTGCAGACTTTGGATGGCAATATAAATTGCAAGGGGAAAAACATCAATAACCTGCCCTGAGTCCTTTGGATGGAGCAGGCTAACAAATATATACATGCAATAAAATCTGTAATACTATGATTTTCTTTGTTCATGTGGCTGTTTAGTTCCAACACCAAGTAATGATGATAGATAGCCTTTGAAACAGATGGTCATGTTTAAATGTTGGTGGTCAGAAGAATATAATAGCACTGTAGTTATAATTTTTACACACAATTGCAGTTTGCAGAGATTCTGGTGGTTAAGAAGGTAGCATGATTCATATTCCAAATCTGTGAATTCTATAGGTAAAGATGTTTCAAAGACTACAAGTGTGCGACCTTATCTTCCTCCACTAAATGAGTTATTTGCTTCAAAATGTATTTTCAAAATACAATTTTTATTTGTGTGCATTTCAGGTTATGCAGGATAAGATCATATGCCTTCCCAAAAGAGTCCAGCCTTCTCAGAACACATCTCACCTTCTTAATATGTCAGATATGGACTCCAGTGCAGCTCCATTCCTTCCACCCAAGCCATCTACACCTCCTGCTACTGTTGAAATGAAGGGCCTAAAGACTGACCTAGACCTCCAGCAGTACAGTTTTATAAATCAAATGTGCTACGAACGTGCCTTGCATTGGTATGCAAAGTACTTTCCATATCTTGTCCTTATACACACATTGATCTTCATGCTGTGTAGCAACTTCTGGTTCAAATTCCCAGGGTCCAGCTCAAAAATTGAACATTTCATTTCCATTCTGGGGAAATGTTTTGACTCTCCTTGGACTACAAGGGCTTTATCAGAGGTATCTGGAGAAGACTCTGAGGAGAAAGACAACAGAAAGAACAACATCAGCAGGTCAAATACGGTCCAGCCTAGCACAGAAGGCAATTTGGTCAGGACTCAGTCTTTGAGATCCATTCCTGAGAAGTTCATTGTGGATAAAGGAACTCCAGGGGCTTTGGATAAAAAAGAAGGAGAACAAGCTAAAGCATTATTTGAGAAGGTGAAGAAATTCCGTCTCCATGTTGAGGAAGGTGACCTATTATACGCCATGTATGTTCGCCAAACAGTGCTGAAAGTGATCAAGTTTCTTATTATTATTGCATATAACAGTGCACTTGTTTCAAAAGTTCAGTTTACAGTAGATTGCAATGTTGACATTCAAGACATGACAGGATATAAGCACTTTTCTTGCAATCATACAATGGCACATCTCTTTTCTAAACTCTCATTCTGCTACTTGTGCTTTGTAAGTATTTATGGACTGACATGCCTTTACACTTTGTACTGGCTGTTTTACCGCTCGCTGAAAGAATATTCTTTTGAGTATGTCCGGCAAGAGACTGGAATTGATGATATCCCAGATGTCAGAAATGACTTTGCTTTTATGCTCCACCTGATAGACCAGTATGATCCTCTTTATTCTAAAAGATTTGCTGTGTTTCTTTCAGAGGTCAGTGAAAACAAACTGAAGCAACTGAATTTAAACAATGAGTGGACGGCCGATAAACTGAGGCAAAGACTACAGATGAATGCCCATAACCATTTGGAACTGCAACTGTTTATGCTGTCTGGACTTCCTGATACAGTTTTTGAAATTACAGAGCTTCAGTCTTTGAAACTTGAAATTATTAATAATGTCATGATACCAGCTACCATTGTGCAACTGGACAATCTCCAAGAGCTCTCTCTATATCAGTGTTCTGCAAAGATCCACAGTGCAGCCTTGGCATTTCTAAAAGAAAACCTGAAAGTCTTGAATGTCAAGTTTGATGACTTCAGAGAACTTCCACCTTGGATGTATGGGCTCAGAAATTTAGAAGAATTGAGCTTAATTGGCTCTTTATGCCATGATATTTCTAAAAATATAACTTTAGAGTCTTTTCGAGAACTTAAGAATCTTAAAGTTCTGCACATTAAAAGCAACCTGTCCAAAATCCCACAGTCTGTGGTTGATGTTTCAAGTCACCTTCAAAAAATGTGCATTCATAATGATGGCACTAAACTAGTAATGCTCAACAACCTGAAAAAAATGGTCAACTTGACAGAATTAGAGTTAGTGCACTGTGATCTGGAACGCATTCCTCATGCTGTTTTCAGCCTTAACACCCTCCAGGAACTAGATCTTAAGGAAAACAATCTGAAATCTATAGAGGAAATTGTTAGCTTTCAACACCTTAGAAAACTTACAACCCTAAAGTTATGGCACAACAGTATAACCTATATCCCTGAGCACATAAAGAAGCTCACTAGTCTAGAACGGCTTTCTTTTAGTCACAACAAGATAGAGGTTCTCCCATCCCACCTTTTCTTATGCAACAAAATTAGATATTTAGACTTATCTTACAATGACATACGATTCATCCCCCCTGAAATTGGAGTTCTACAAAGCTTACAGTATTTTTCAATCTCTTGCAACAAAGTAGAGAGTGTGCCAGATGAGTTATACTTTTGCAAAAAAATCAAGACACTGAAGATTGGGAAAAACAACTTGTCTATCCTTTCACCAAAAATTGGAAATCTGGTGTTGCTATCCTACTTGGACATTAAAGGAAACCACCTGGAATTTCTTCCCCATGAACTTGGTGACTGCAGAGCTCTGAAAAAGAGCGGACTTGTGGTTGAAGACACCTTATTTGAAACTCTGCCTTTGGATGTTAGAGAACAGATGAAGGCCGAATAATATTCTCAGTACTTTTTTAAAAAAAAACTGTCTCTGCCAAATGCCTTGTACATAACTAATATGCCTTCAAAGTCTTTATTTTATTTTATTTGACGTATTTTGACATTTTATATATGGATCATTTTGGAATATATGTATTACGTATACACACTTTTATATTTATATCAATATACCCCTTTCATGTTCATAATTGTTTTAATTTTAGCCTTATATTGTATGTTTTTAGACTTTTTATTGTGTGTTGGTGGCATCAAATTGGTAATATCTGCCTTAAAAAAATGGCCTAGCTCAAAATAAGGTCATCATCTTTAAAAATAAATAATTTAGGTAACATATTAAAGTAGAATAATACATGGTTGCTGTAGCAACTCTAATCCTTTCTATTCTGCTTTTTAAAATCACCTAAATGCTTTAAGGCTGCAAGTGTTCTTTGTCTTGTTTATATCCTAGATGCAGGTAATTGTAGCTTCTGCAAGTCAGATTGCCCTGTCCTTGAGACTTCATTATGGCAAAACAGTAAAGTCACTGATAAAAGATGTTTCTTCACTGATGGCTATTCTGTGCTCATAGAACTTATCCTGCTATTGCTGGCAATAGAACTCTTGCTCTTTAGAAAGCTCTGAATTAAAATCATATTTTAGCTAGGATTCACTTTTAGCTAAATTTATTTTGAGTCTCTTGACCCCATCTTTAGTATTCTTAATTATAATTAGAACATGAGTCAGAATTTGTGTTCTGACACTATGAGTCTTCGTTTCCTATCTCCATTTGTGTGTAACTGTGACTCCTGAATGTACATTAGTAAATCTTTGCAAATTGCAATCAGATATGACTCTGCACAAATTAGTTTCTGATATTTCTGTCATAAATGCCCTTAATAATCCCCTAAGGGTACATCTACATCATAATTATATTACATTTATAGAGGGAGGGAGAGATCAAATTTATGCTGTCTTAAAAACAAGGTTTTCTTTCCCCTGTCATGGTTTCCCACAAAGAATTATAGGAATTTAATTGAGTGGGAGTGTTAAAAATTCTATTATTTCCTCTGCTTCTCTCACTTTAAAAAGAAGGTACAGCATCCTAGATTCCCATGAAGTGGCAAACATGTGTGGCTGTGAAATATTTTGGACATGGTTTACCTTGAAAATGTAGCATGCAAATCAATTATTATGATAGTAAACAGTAAAACAAAGCCATACAAGTCATGAAATAGGGAATTTCTAATCTCGCCAAACTATGATACTATTCATGCTTGGTTGGAAAGAAGTAATTCAATTCAGAAGGATTTATTTCCAGTATGTTACCAAGAAAATGGAATATTTGCTTCAACATGGCCCTGCCCTGTAGAGACTATTTAGAAAGATATCTACGCATGGAAGAAGTCTTCCCTGAATGCAGTCATTACAGTTGCAAATTACACTTGAATATCTATCATCTTCCAACTCATTAAAATGCTAGGTGGATTAGTTTTAGAGGTATAATTTGAGGCTACAAGGTGCCCACAACTAATTGTTTGTGATTGCAGTCAAGCATTACAGTAAGCCTTGGTTTATTGTAATGGGGAAGAATAATGGTAAGGCTCAGATTTATATACTCTTATCTCCTCTTCCATCATGGCCAGAAGAAGGTGTATGGAAATACTGATTTTTTTTCATAATACTTCAGAAACTTACATGAACACCATAGCAAAAAAGTATTCTCTCTGTTCCATCTATTAAAAAGTGTAACTGACTTTTTCAGGATAGAAAGCCATCAAACAATGAAGAGATTGGTGTGATGGTAATAATTATGCCCATCTCATATATTTAGCCAAAATGTGCGTATAAAAGCTTGTTATGCTGACACATGTAAGTCTTTACCTCAATTGCGCATGCTGTTACATATTGCACAGTACATGGTCACACTATGTATTGTTAGGATTTACACCAAAGCAGGGCTACGTTTATGCCTTCTATTGTAACATTTCTTCCTGTAATTGCTTTCTATGTTGCAACATGTGGTGGTAGTATGCATTGCTTTGGGTGGAATTACAGGTAGTCCTCGGTTAACTACAGTAATTGGGACTGGAATTTCTGTAGCTAAGCAATGTGGTCTTAAAGTGTGACATCACATGACCACATCGCTTAGCAACAGCAATCCCAGCAGACCCCATTGCTGCTGTTAACCGAATCCCACCAGTTGTTAGGCGAGGACTCACCCTGATCCAAGTCATTCCTGGCTTGGTCCCTCCCAACCTCGAGCCTCAGTAAGGCAAGGGACTGCCTCCTCTGTCTCCTCTTAAACTCCCCCCATCTACCTGTCTCCCCCCCATCTCTGCCCTTTTGGCCTACCCACTGCCCCTGCTGTCCAGCCACTACTGTACTGGCTGAAGCCTTCTTTTGTACCACTGCAGCAGGGCTTCTTTCATGCATCCTGGTGCATGAAAGAAGGATCCGGCTAGAAGCCCTGGCTGGGAGGCGAACAGAGGCCCTGGCTGGCACACAAAGTGGGGCACAAATGGAGGCCCTGGCTGACATGTGACAGAAGTCCCGACTGCACTGACATGAAAGAAGGTGGCGCAGAAGAATGCTCCAGCTGGTACAGTAGTGGCACACCGGGTGCAATGGCAGGGGCAGCTGGTGGCAGAAGTAGGTGGATTGCCAAAAGGCGGTCGTAAATGCAGGTGGACCCAAATTTTGTTCACATGACTGCGGGGGCACTGCAACAGTCAGAACTTTGAGAACCAGTCGTAAGTCCCTTCGTTCAGAGCCATCATAACTTCCAGTGGTTACTGAATGAATGGATTAAGTGAGGACTATTTATGTAGCTGAATGTGGACTTGATTCTATTGTCTTCCTCATATCCTGCAGAGTCCAAGACAAGGCTTCTTCTCCCACCATTTGACAAACCCATTCACAAAGATTCTGACTTGAAAACAGTACATTTAGAGCTTGCTGAGTATTTAACAGAGTGATGAGGTTTGTCTCCCTGAGATTAACCAAATTGAAGCATCTGGTCTGTAGCAAAAAATAAAAACTGCACTGAAAAACCATCTCCACGCAAAACATCTTCATAAAGCCAATTCTTTAGTTAAGAATAGCTTCCCTGTGCATGTAGCAATTGCATGTACTCTTTTTCTTAATAGAAGGAGGCTAACCACTTTTCCTAGAGTGGTTCAATGTAATCACCATCAAAGCAGAAGAACAAAAGCCCTCTTCCCCATCAACTGGTACTGAAGGCATATTGCTGATTTGTCTTCCAATTTATCTGATCCCTTTTAACTGCATTTTATGCATGTGGCTATCAGTACCTCTTGGCTGTCCACTCCATCAATTGTAAATAATACGTGTGAGTTGCTGATACATTCCAAGTCTGTTGTTCATGTTTGTTTTGGGCACAGTTCAATCCTGCACACATTTATGTTGGAATAAGAACCATTGAATTATTCAAGCATTCTTTGGAGCATATAGTTTAGGGTTACATTGCTCAGTTTATAAATGATCTCACCATTGTAAAACAAACAACCTCTACCAACACAAACTTATTTCTTACTCTTGCAGCATGTTTTCCTCCCTTCAGAGGACATGAGGTCCTGTCTATATTTCAAGTAGTTCTCAGTTTTATAGTGGCTTAACTTCATGAACCTTAGAGAATGGTGTTTGATGGAAATGCAAATTCTTGCTAGAGACTCCTAAATTCAGTTCTCTTGGAGAGAACTACTACTAATTAGGCCATACAGTGCTGCCTAGTGTTTTTGTATGAAACTGGGAATCCCGAGCCCCAATGCTATTAAATTATAAACTGCCATTTACTGGAAAAAAAATATTATTGTGAAGGCAAATGCTTATGCTAAGATGGGAAATGTAACCTAAAGCTCAGACCCTGCCAACTGACTCTCATGCTCTGATTTGTCTCTCAACTTCATTCTTAGCTTAAAAGTATAAACAAGTCAAGGGTTGAAGTAAAACACCCAAGCTAAGAGAGTCATACAAGCAGTCCATTCTTTACATTGCTGAGATTTACCAGGACATGAAGAGGAGAAATGTTCTTGTTAGAGTCTTAAATTTATTTTATCAACCAAAGTACTGAAGTTGCTAATATACAAACTATTTTAAGTTCTCAGTACAATCAGTGACTTTCTGTAGAGATCTATAATAGAACTGAAATCTTATATTACACTGAAGAGGAGAAAGATGCAGTCTAACCTTACAATCTGGTGGTGGTCTCCTTTTGCTGCAAGGGCATACTACAGGTGGTGGTTTATCAGCCATGAATCTGTAAAGAGAGTACCTGGAGGGTGCTGTTTCTGTTATTACACAAGGTACAACAATGCCTGCTGAAAGGATGTCAGAGTTGTATGCACTATTCCTCTACAGAGTAATACGATGAAAAGGCGTGTGTGTATATATATATATATATTCATCTGCACATACCTGTAATTGCAATTTCTTCCATGCTTACGTTATTATATATTACTGACAATGAGAGATTGTGACATTTGGGCATTTATGCAGGGATATGTGTTTTATATTTGCAGAATGAGGGCCAGAAGAGGCTTGCGTCTACTGATCCATTATGCATATTTGGATCAGTATGTTTGGATTGAATTGCCCATAAGATCTACTTTCATCAGTGAAATAGTTCCAAAAGGCTGCAGGACCTTGGCCACTTGCTCTGGAGAAATCTCATTTATCTCCTTACTCCTTCAGAACAATTGCAAGCCTTTCTCGCTATTCCTAATACTGTATTGCATGTCATGAGCGACATTCTTTTTTATAGCAATTGCAAGTACTTTTAAGTTATAGTTTTTAAAATTGTATTTAACTGTATCCTTTTTAACAAATTGATGCATAATATTCATGGAATAAGCTTAAGGAAATTGACTATTGGAATGCAGTTTAGAATTATTTTTGTTGGCATATGTGCAAAGTCATATTATCAAAATACATTTAAAAAGCTCTTGCTCAAAAGTGGTGACTTTTCCAAATACTGCCCATGTCAGGAAATGATATTAATGAAGAAGTGAGTCACTTTGTTTATCATATTACATATATCTGTATATAATCAACTATATAAAACATTATAGCAAATCATGTTCACTTAGTCTGAATCAGTTTTTCTTCATAGTATTGAGTGGTCGTAGAATTGATTCAGCGTGACGAAAATTGAGGTATGTCTTACCCTAATGCATAGAAGCACAATATGGAATTTGTTACTGATGGTAAGAATGCTGTTTTCAAAGGTAAATCCTATCGGGTTCTTCCTTTTCCTCCATCATAATTAAGTATAACCCCAGTTTTCCTAACAACAGTTCCATATTATGAGGGTAACTATGGGATCCTGCTGAAATAGAATGAAGGAAGGAAAGATAATGCAAAGATTTCAAGTTGTTCCATAATGCCACTAGTCTCATGTCTTCTGAAAGGTCCAGGACAGCGTCCCCAACTTAGTATCTTCCAGATCTGTTACATTATAGCTCCCATCAATCCCAAACTGTTATTTACTTCTTTATCCCATCAGTCCTGACAATTTGAAAACACCACTTGCAGCAGTGTGGCAGCGGAATCTAACTTGAATGTCTGTAGTCATCTTCAGTTTAAAATTTCTGTCATGCAGGACTTCAGAGTCAAATCAAAACTGTCCACTTGCTTTTTGATTAAGTTTGCAAGTTAGGCAGTCTTGAGTGCTTCATAAATATATTGCCTTACTGAAGGTTTCAGTATTTGTCATGTATACAATTAGGTTCCTTTGCTTTTCATGAAATAACAACTTCACATTAAGAGTTTCCTTAATTGTGCTTTTAGGAAAAAGGAGAGTTCAACAGGAATGACATGTTTGTAGTCAACGTATGATCACTCTCATGGCTGTTGTTTGAAAACTGCCAATCTAGATTTTGCATGGACCATTCCTAAGCAAATGCAATTGTTATTTTGTTTTGAACTTCCCTTTCTGGAACTTTTTTATGTCGCAAAATCAGTTCAAGTGCAGCAAAGGGGTTTTGGAATGGTGGTTCCACCAGATAACTGAATATGCTGGTCTATGACCTTAACGGAGATTTGATTTGATTTGATTTGATAACTGAATAGTGTAGAAAAAATGTCTTTTAATGACAGTAGGCCAATCTGGAACAGAAGAGAATTCACAGTAGGAAGGGAAGATTGAATAAAGTTGGTTCTCTTAAATGTGAAGTTTTGGAGCACATGTCTCATCAGTGTATTTCTTCTCTGATGTCACTTTTTCTACTGAAAGTATAGACTAAGTGACTGCATGTCAGTAACTAAAATATATTATCTATGATATACCTAACATTGGAACAAGGAAGCAAAGTAGATGCAGGCTCTGCCCCCACTGTGCTTGATGATGGCACAATTGTACTCTGAGAATAATGTTCACTTTGCTCCGTGAAGCACGTGGAAAAGACAGACATAAAGGTAGCATTTTCCCCTTTATTCCAACATCTTCCACCTTGTAGGTGAGGTCAGCTAGTCTATTGTGGATTAATCAGATATATGTTTCGGGAATGTTTGGAGGTGTAGGCCCACCCCTTCCCCTCTGATCATGAGTCAGCCCCCAGTGTTGCTTACTTGGTCAGTTTTCATTTTCTTCCCCTTAAAGTGAAAGTGCTTGCCAGCATCTTGTCAGTTTCAGTTCTGCTGTTCTGAAGGACCCACTTGCACAATCCTGGTAGAGACTGCTTCCCTGGAACTTTCTTCTCTGCAGTCTTCCCATATGTTTTCTTAGCATAATTTTAATTTGGAAGAAATGCCCAAATGGAGTATTGGAGGAGGTGTAGACAAACCAGCCTAAAGAAGATTGACCGAGTCCAGAAATCCTCCTATTGCAGGACTATGATCGATGGATGTTTTCCCCATTGGCTAGCCACATTGTGAAAAGGGAAGACAGAGGAGAAAACTAACCACCTTGCCTGAGAAGAGTGGCACATTCACAAATCAGGGCACTGTCCTTTTGGCAGTGGCTTAGAACTGATGCAATAGAGGCAGGATAGGAATTGGCTGTGGAGATAGGAAATGTTATGCTGACCTCATGTGCTGACTCAAGAATGGACAGACAGCACTCCCGCTTGGTACA